ATAAATGTTATTTAAAGGAAAAATAAGTCCAGGACCAGCTGAAGAAGAAGCATATTTGCAAGATGAAAATTGAACTTTCCAGCAATTCCATCTCTGGATATGGACTCAAAAGAACTGAAAGAAGAGACACTGGAAATTTGTACAGCCTTGTTTATCGCAGCATTATTTACAAAAGCCGAAAGGTAGAAGCAGCCCAAGTGTCCAACAACAGATGAACGGATAAGCAAAATGTGGTATATACATGCAATGAATATTAAAAGTCTTAAAAAAGAAGGAAATTCTGACATATACTACAACATGGGTGAGCCTCAAAGACATCATACTGAGAGAAATAAGCCAGTCACCAAAGGACAAATACTGTATGATTTTACTTACATGAGGTACTTAGTGGAAGAGAGAAATTCATAGAGACAGAAAGTAGAATGGTGGATGCCAGGGGCTGGTGAGGAGGGAGGAATGGGGAGTTAGTGTTTAGTATGTTCAGAGTTTCACTTTTCCCAAGACGAAAGAGTTCTGGAGATGGATGGTGGTAATGGTTAATGACAATGTGAATGTACTTAATGCCACAAAACTGTGCATTTTTAAATGGTTACAATGGTAAATTTTGTTATGTCTATTTTACCACCATAAAAAGTACTTATTTCAGTACCTTGTCATAGAAAAGATCCAACTTTTTTTTTTAATTAATGGAAGGTAATAGAGTGATGGAGATAGAGAGGCACACATGGGACACGGCCTTGACCTACCACCTTTGAAGGGAAGGTGCTACTTTTATATTGAAGGGTGGTCTTTTTGTTCAAGGTTTGCTTCATCTTTTCAATTTAGTTAGCTAGGTCTATGATTGTTTTCACTGCAGTTTTCCTTCAGATTTTAGTAATATTATTGCCACCTTCGAAATCTGTTTACACAGAACATGGTACGTCTCCTTCTCTCATTTTATTATTCAGGCTTCCTCATTAGTTTAGAAAATTGTTTGTTCAATAAAGACCTATCTTATTTGATCCTGGTCTCTGAATCCCCTGGATTATGGCAGGGATTTTACTCTGTGATAATCTCCCATGAGAACTGCCCAAACAGCTGTGAAGCCAAGAGAGAGCTACAAGGGGTGATCACATTCTCAGGCACAGCAACAAGGGACCGAAGCCTACCAAAATGAATCTTTTCTGCTTTTCACTGGTGAGTTTCTTTACATGCATCATTGATATCCACATTTTTATTTTATTGTATCAATTAAAAGGAATGGAATTAGGGATACCCTAAACTTCCTATGTGGTGATTAATTAATACATTTAGGGTCTCATAAAAAAAATCCACATCAGAAAGAAGAAAAGGATGTTTTTATTAAAGCACTTAAGCCAACTCATTCAGAGGCAAGTAATTTAACAAAAATATATATATATATACATTTATCTGAAACAATTACTAGTTATTTAACATTTTGATGCTGAATTTTTTTTTTGATGCTGAATTTCTAAGAAATATAAACGGTATTTTTGAGGAACTATTTTATTTATTATAAATATGAGAAAAATTTTTGCAAAATATGCTGCATTTAGGTTACTTGCCTTGCTCTGAGATATCCTAGAGATCAAAATTTCCTCTTTACTGTTTGAATAATGAATTCCGTTTAATGTTTTAAATTACCATGGAGGCAGCTTTCTGAGTCAGACAGTACTGTAAATGCGAGGTACAATAGATTATTCCAGTCCTGCAGATGTGCTCATTCAAGGGTATAAGCACTTCTCAAATTCTTTTTTACATTATTACCTTTTTTTTTTTTTTTGGTTTAGCCTGAAGTGGATCAGTGAAAGTTAGCAGGTAGTCATAGATCTGGAAATACTTTATAACTCTAACCTGCAGTTGTGACCATCTGCCAATGCTAAAAATGAATTTCAAAAATAATTTTATTCATTTCTATCTGTGTTTACAGCAGTACATTATGCCTATTCATTGGTTTTTCAAGATATGGATGGGAGATCCCTGTCATTTGTGGAAATAAAATGGTTTACCTTGATGTTTGTTTTCTTTCCAAATTGCAAATAAGATTAACGTAGTGCTAGAGATGGTGCTGACATAGGTTGTAATACCTAAACAGGAGGCATTTTAAGCCAAGATAAGGGATTTAATCTTGGAGCATCTTGAAAAATAAAATGCAATTGTGAGTTGTGGCAGGCTGAATCATCGAGTTCTGATTGCCTATATAGTCCCAATTTACAAAATAATTGCCGGTGCTCAACTTTGCTTTGTGCCAGATAAATCTGACTAGAGAAATCCCATTTCAGGTGATTTAAGTGGTATTGTGCATTCTTTTCTAGTCGATCTAAAAGAGCTATATGCAATTTATGTGAATATACTTCCTATGGAAATAGGCAGTGTAGCAGCAGAGAGGACGGCGTTCCGAAATCACTCGGAATGGCTCTATAATCAGTATGCTAATGTTACTGTAACATAGCATGGCTCAGCATAGTGTGGCATACGTTTTTAGTCCTGCTATTGAAGACATCTAACCATCTAATGAGCATCACTGTCTTTCTCTGCAATAGAGGGAAAGGAGCATGTACTCCAAAAGGATTGCTTCAACGCTATGCCTCATGGACTCAGTCTGACTGCAACTCTTTTCCATGTTTTAAAGTTGTCCTTAAACATTTTCTTGTTTGGAAACATGTTTGATTAGACGGAACCATCATGAACACTGAAATATTTTGTTCAGGCATTCCAAAGTTTGTCAAAGTTAATGGCTTTCATAATAAAATGTCCACAAGGTACTTGGAAAAAAATCAAAACTATTTTAGGTGCTTTTTATTTCTTCCTGTGGGGTAAATAAATAAAATTGTTTAGCGTATGGGCTCTCAACCAGGGTGTTGTGACACCCTACTGTGCTGTTATGAGCTGTGACAAAGGGGTGGGGTTACAGCTTTCGCCAGGAATTTGTGCATAATTCAAAACATTTTGTCTGTGCCTGTAGGAATGTGAACATATGGGACAGGCATTTAAAATAAAGAGAATAAAAATCACTGATTTAGTGGAAAGAATGATTTCAGAATTAAAAAGTAGAGGTGTATATTTCTATATCGATCTTTAAATCTGTAGGAAGGAGGTGGTTTTAAATATTAAGCATCAAGTAAAGATTACCACTAAAGAAAGCCAGAGAAAGAGTTAAGCATTCTCTTATTTAAGTGTAGGGGGAAATTGTAAATCTTTTAGTAAATGGGGTTTTTAAGAGAAATAATAAAGCAAACTTAATGAACTACCCATTCTGAACCAAGGATCCTATAAATAATCCATTAAAGGTGATCGCTGTTATCTTGGATCTATAAACTCGAAATGGGGTCTTTCAAAAGGGAGGCAGGGATATCCTTTTATGTATGCCACTCTGACTCCAGAATTTTTCTTACAGTTTTAACATTGTGATAAGGCTTTTAGAAGACTTGCTCATTAGAAGCAGGATGATTTTCTTATTGAGCTCATTGTATAGTTACTGAGTTTAACACGATTTTGTAACCCAGTAAAGTTACAAATCAATTATCCCTGCACCATTTCTTCAGTGATTTGTAATAATGCTGCCTCTATTTTATTTGGACTCTATTCTATCCCTTTGGTTTATCTCTACCCCTTTCCTTATACCTGTTCTTTTATTAGGGTAATTCTAATGCTAAGGGAGACATCTTATTCAACAGAATTCCCTCTCCTTGTCCTTCTTCAAAATTTGGACTTTTTAAGTCTTTGCGCTTCTAGGTAAATTTCAAATAATATGAAAATCTTTGATGGGATTTTGGTTAAAATGGACTTAATCTCACATCATCTTTAGGGGAAATTGACTTAATTATGGAGTTGAGTCCTCCCATCCACAAACATGTGTAGCTTTTCATTTATTCAAGTTTTCTTTTATGGACTCTTAAGATATTGTATAATTTGCTCTATAAAATTCATGCACATCTTTTACTAAATTTATTGCTAGGGATCTAAGAATTTTGGTTGCTGTTGTGATTATTTGTTCCTAATTTGTTTCTGCTGATTTATAGATGCATTATTGACTTCCTGATATTGATATTGCAAGTAAATAATTTTGCTGAATTAAAAAAATTCTGGTAGTCTATGTTTTTTTCTTAGATTTCCCATACAGATAATCTGTAAGTTTTCCTCTTCTTTGGTAATTATATCATTCTCAGCTTTTCTCTATCTTCTTGTCACATTGACAAGTAAGAATGCCATAACAGCAGACACCTAAACCTGTTTCTCACATTCAGGTATTACTCCTAATTGAGTCTTCCCGAGGCTTTTGATAAATAATCCTACTGAGGTTAAGGAAGTCCTGTCTTTTCCCAACTCGCTAAGATTTTATCACAGGTGAATAATAAATTTTTCAAATACCTTTATTATTTCAATAAATTTCAATAAATTTCCTGTTTAATATTTTAAAAGACATCTAAATGTTGAAACATCCTTATATTCCCATATTAAATACTGATTGACCATGGTGTATTTTTTTTTTTTAAAGATTTTATTTATTTATTTGACAGAGAGAGACACAGCGAGAGAGGGAACACTAGTAGGGGGAGTGGGAGAGCGAGAAGCAGGCTTCAATTTAATTAAATTTAAATGTGTACATCTCATTTAGAATTTCTTAAAACTATAAGTAAAATTGGTCTGTAGCTTTTCTTGAACTGACAAGGAAATTCTGTCATTTTATTTTTCTAGAATACCTATTAATCTTGTGTTGTAACATCTTAATATACCTTCCACACTTCTACGTGAATGTTCTGTGTGTTTTCGCATTATCCTTATATGCTCATGATCTCAGGGTCGTGAAATGGAGCCCGGCATCTGGCTTCACGCTCAGCGGGGAGTCTGCTTGAGATTCTCTCCCCCTCTCTCTCCTTCTGCCCCTCCCTCTGCTTGTGTGCTCTCTCTCTCTAAAATAAGTAAATAAATCTTAAAAAGGAAGACTTTTCCAGGAAATATCATTTTATTTTTTGCCTCATAAATCTCTTTTATTGCAGGAAGGCTCCATGGACAGCTTATGTGAGCCAGTCCCAGAGCAACAAACTAACCGAGAAAGCACCTCTGTCAGGACTGGTTCTCTTATCTCACCTTTTGCAGAGAGTGGAAAAGCACACGACAGTCTCTTCATGGTGAGTGAAGCCTCGAGTTTTGTGGATTGCTCCTCTATTATATATTTAGGATCACTTGCTTCATGATACCGGTTAATACAGCAGAAACCACTGAAAGTTCTTCATTTACTTTTGGTTTCTGAGTTTCTCTTCATTGTTGTCTCTTTCATGATTTTAGCTTATTAATATAAACTGCCATTTATAGAGTATGTATTACATAAGTTAACTCAGTTAATCCTCAAAGCAACCTTAGGACAAAGAAATATATCTTTTTCGAGATTAGGAAACTGCAGGAGAGAAAGCAAAATAACTTGCTAAAGGCTATATACCATGAAGTGTTAAAGCTGGCAATTAAAGATATATGGGTCTGCCTCAGTAGTTCATCACTAGGGTACTGGTAATCAGGTCTTTGGGATGGAGGGAGGGAACCCCAGATTTGTAGCATTTGCCGATTGCCTGGGTGTAAATGCTTCTACCGTGGTCATTGTCGAGCTACCAGTGGTTTAATAATAGGCTTACAATACCTGAATATTTATTTGTTCATTATCTCCAGTGCCAACAGCAGCATACCAGTGGTGGCTTTAAAATCCGTGCTAACCACTTTACTAAGCTGCTCTTTGTATTTATGGACACACACCGTGAACTTACAAAGCATGAGTATTACTAGAATGCAAATGCAGATAGTTTTTTTGAATTATGTTTATAATTACTAGAGGCAGAGAGTTCTCAGTGCTCTGCAAAATTGGCCCTGTCCCTGTTTAACAGTGCTGGCTGTTCTCATAGTTGATTGTGCTGTATTTAAATTAATCCCATACTAACGAACTTATTTTGCTTCTCTTGTGGCTTAGTACAATACAAAACATCCTATGTCTGCTACAAATAAAGAACTTCCCTATACTTATAGGGAATGATCATACTTTTCCCCAATAACAACACAAAGATTAATATCCGAGTCCTTTTTTATAAGTAGGTGATGTCATATATGACATTATTTGTGTTGATCCTCACAATAACTTTAGAGAGGTTCAGAAATGTTGAGAAAGGGGCGCCTGGGTGGCTCAGTCGGTTAAGCATCTGCCTTTGGCTCAGGTCATGATCCCAGGGTCCTGGGATTGAGCCCTGCATCGGGCTCCCTGCTCAGCGGGGAGCCTGCTTCTCCCTCTCACTCTCCCTCTGTGTCCTCTCTCTCTCAAATAAATAAATAAAATCTTAAAAAAAAGAAATGTGGAGAAAGGTTACATAACTTTCCCAATTAAAAAAAGGATGACCCAGGATTCAAATCCAGAAAAGTACCTTCAAGTTTTATACCTACCTTCATACCTACCCGTTTTATTCCTGGGGGACATTCTTTGAAAACCTTTTTGTGTAGCTTACAGATGTAAGCAATGTCACATTAGTTAGCAACCAAGTTCAATAATAAGTCTCAGTCAGTAAAAATAATCCAAAAAAATTTAGTGTAGTGGAAACTCTTCCCTCAATCATACCCTTTTCAATATCCATGAAGATGTTGATGTTGACAGATATGCAGAAGAGGAAGCAGCAATACATTTTACATATTAATGTGAGAGAGTGAGACTTACATGGAGACTCTCAATTGACATTGCAAAATGTTTGTAAGCATTTTTACTCTATAATTAAAAAGAAAAATTGAATAGGCTGAAGAGCCTGAAGATACTTCCTTAAATGTGTTAGTTTAATAAATATGCATGAAAAATAAACAAGTTCGTGGCCAAGCAGTCTACTAGAATTTTTATCAAACTTCCTTACATTGCAAAATAGATGAGAATAATGAAAACATGATTTAAATTGCTACAACTCTCTCTCCATGTATATATAGAACACACACACATATATGTATATAGTCATGCATATCATATATATAGATATATATCTCCATATTTAATTTTAAAATTTATGCATACATATAAGCATAAATGTGTATGTGCGTGTGTGTATACACTTTTGAAAGGCAACCAGTTCAACCATTGATTCTTTTTTTTTTTTTTTTTAAGATTTTATTTATTTGACAGAGAGAGAGACAGCCAGAGAGAGAACACAAGCAGGTGGGGGTGGGAGAGGGAGAAGCAGGCTTTCCGCAGAGCGGGGAGCCCGACGCGGGGCTCGATCCCAAGACCCTGGGATCATGACCTGAGCCGAAGGCAGACGCTTAACGACTGAGCCACCCAGGCACCCCTGATTCTACTATTAGTTGTTAAATTGTACCAGTCCTTTCAAATTACCACTGACATTTTATTTCTTTTTTTTTTTTTTTTTAATTTATTTGAGACAGAGAGAATGAGAGACAGAGAGCATGAGAGGGAGGAGGGTCAGAGGGAGAAGCAGACTCCCTGCCGAGCAGGGAGCCCGATGCGGGACTCAATCCCGGGACTCCAGGATCATGACCTGAGCCGAAGGCAGTCGCTTAACCAACTGAGCCACCCAGGCGCCCCTGACATTTTATTTCTAATAAAAATGATTCCATAGCTTGGATAAAATGAAATCAGTCTTTTAAAAAAATGACATTTAGTGATTTAGAACTTTCTCTCTGAGCCTCTGAAGAATGGATCATTTTTTTTTCCCTAGTATTCTCACTTCCTTTTTTTCCCCCCTAAATCAAGGGAAGAAAAGTTTTGGACTAGTCTTGATAGTATCAGAAAAAAGTATTCTTTTTGATTCATGTTCTAGAAATATTATAAAAACACCCCTAAAGTTCATGGAGTTATATCTCAAGCTCCCAGTCCTCAACCCAAATGTATCTGTAATCTTCCCAGAGAGGAGAGGTGCTCTCATACTCAGACTCTTTAGAAGCAACCAGACAGCATATCTAGTTGTTAACAGTGGAAATTAATAGCCCATACTAAAAATATCATTTGTCATATGAATTGAAAAGAAAAATCTGGGGTACCTGGGTGGCTCAGTCAGTTAAATGTCTGACTCTTGATTTCAGCTCAGGTCATGATCTCAGGGTTGTGATATCAAGACCCTCACTGGGTTCCATACTCAGCATGGAGCCTGCTTAAGATTCTCTCCCTCTCCCTCTCCTTCCCCCCTACTCTCTCTCCCTCTCTAAAAAACAAAAAAGAAAGAAAAGAAAAGAAAAATCAAAATGAGAGTAGAATCCTAGGCTTCCTGGCTTCCCTTAAACATGTTTTATTTATTCATATTTATTAGGAGTTTTGTGAGGTAGAAAACACTGTTCTAAACAAGGTATGGAGTTATATAGATGCATATAGTTATATAGATCTTATATATAAGATAATCCAGACTCCCAGAGGAGATGATCCAGTGTAGATCAAGTTCACATTTAAGGGTTGAATAGGTATTAAAGGGAAAGAAGTTTATTTGAGGATTTTTAAAATTAAAAAAAAATTAATTGAAGTATAGTTTACATATACTATTAGTTGCAGGTGTACAACATAGTGATTTGACAATTATCTACATTATGTTGTGCTCGCCATGATAAGTATAGTAACCATCTATCACCACACAAAGTTATTACAATATTATTGATTATATTCCCTATGTTCTACTTTTCATCCCTGCAACTTATTTTATAACTGGAAGTGTATACCTCTTAATCCTCTTCACCTATTTTGTCTATCCCCTGCCCGCTTCCCCTCTGGTAACCACTAGTTTATTCTTTATATTTATGAGTCTCTCTTTCTGTTATTGTTATTCATGTGTTTGTTTTGTTTTCTAGATTCCACATATAAGTAATGGTGTTTGTCTTTCTGTCTGACATATTTCACTTAGCATAATTACCTTCTAGGTGTCTCATTGTTGTCACAAATGGCAAGATTTTGTTCTTTTTATGGCTGAGTAATATTCCATTGTGTATATATATAACACATCTTCTTTATCCATTTACCTATTGATGGTCACTTAGGTTATTTCCTTATCTTGTTTATTACAAACAATGCTACAATAAACATAGGTATGCATGTATCCTTTTGAATTAGTGTTTTCATGTTCTTTGGGTAAATACCCAGAAGGGGAATTACTAGATCGCATGGTATTTTTATTTTCAATTTTTTGGGGAACCTACATACTGTTTTCCACAGTGGCCATACCAATTTACATTCCCACTAAAAGTGCAGGAAGGATCCCTTTTCTCCACATCCTCGCCAACAATTGTTATTTCTTGTCCTTTTGAGACCACCTATTCTGACTGGTGTGAGATGATATCTTATTGTGGTTTTGACTTGAATTTCACTGATGATGAGTGATGTTGAGCATCTTTTCATGTGTCTATTGGCCATCTGCATGTCTTCTTTGGAAAAACGTCTATTCAGTATTTTGGGATTTTAAATGAGGAACATCTGAAATATCCAGCTTCCATTTTAATTGCAGTTCCATGAGGGGCTGGTAATGGAGAGCTGGTCCAAAGATAAATCAATTTAAAATACAAGACTTCAGGGGCACATGGGTGCTCAGTCATTAAGCATCTGCCTTCAGCACAGGTCATGATCCCAAGGGGCCGGGGATCGAGCCTCACATTGGGCTCTGTGCTCAGCGGAAAGCCTGCTTCTCCCTCTCCCACTCCCCCTGCTTGTGTTCCCTCTCTCTCTGTCTCTCTCTCTGTCAAATAAATAAATAAATAAATCTTTTAAAAAAAAATGTTTGTACCTCTGCCAATTGGGGGTTAACTGGATCGGTCCTGAATTATCCAGTTTGCTGTCTGTATTGACTGAAGTAAGCAAATAATTGTCAATTTTCGCTTATATTTTGTAACCCATAAATTAAATTGGTAAGAAATTTAAGCCTTTTCAAAATGAGCTTTAAATTGGGGTGTGGAGTAGGGGCAATGTCCCTATTATTTATATGTTGCACAAATATTCATTCAATAAATATTTGTAAGCAAAATGAATGGATCAGTGAAGTTCCATTAATCAAGCTAAAGGAAGTCTTAATAATGAAGTATGTATTGAACAGACATTTCTCCATCAAGAAGACATACAAATGGCCAACAGACACATGAAAAAATGCTCCACATCACTTGGCATCAGGGAAATACAAATCAA